TGCCTAGAGATGTCCCTTGCCTAGAGATGTCCGAAACAGCATCCTGGTGCTCCCTCCAGGCCCTCAGCATTCCATGAGCACCTGCTGGAGCTCAGCACACACCCAGGGCCGAGGGCTGCTGGCTCACTCCCTATATGGGGAGCAGAGGCCAGGGGGTCAGCCTGGGGTCTCGAGAGGTATAGAACTGCTGGGAGACAGATACAGAGGAGGGCAACTCTAAAAGTATCCTGACAGCATCACAGACCTTTGTTCCGCAAACGCATCCAAATGAGAAGCTCCTGCATCCAACTCATCCTTCATCGAGGTTTGCGCCCTTCCGACGGGGATTCCGTCTCTCCAGTCCTTCCCTGAAGTCTGCCCTCCTTGACTCACACCGCGGCACAGTGGCAGAGGGCAGCCTCAGGGACTCCAGTCGCCTTCCATCCATGTTTTTGGGTTTGGAGAGCAAGAAGACTAAGGGTAGGTTGGGATAAGGTTCCCAGAAAGCCCCTGGAGGGACTACAGAAAGAGGAGCGGGTGCATTCTCATGATGGGGAAGGTTCTCGTGATGGGGAAGGTTCCTGGAAAGAGGAGTGGGTGCATTCTCATGATGGGGAAGGTTCTCATGATGGGGAAGGTTCTCGTGATGGGGAAGGTTCTCATGATGGGGAAGGTTCTCATGGGATCAGGTTCCTGGAAAGAGGAGCGGGTGCATTCTCATGATGGGGAAGGTTCTCATGATGGGATCAGGTTCCTGGAAAGAGGAGCGGGTGCATTCTCATGATGGGAAACAAGTCCTGGGGGCAGCTGTCCTGGCCTTTTTCTCACTGGCGTAGTTACACAATCTGGTGTCAACTTGGGGATTGAAAGGATTAAGAGTCAAGGGGTGGAGTCTAGTCTGTCAATTAGGTCATAGCCAATGAGGCCTCTGTGTGGGCATGAACTTCTCCTGATTCTGGAAGGCGGGAGACACTCTTGCCCTCTTGGCTCACTCCCTGTGAGACATTCCTGTGGAGAAGACACATGGAGAGAGGCTGATGGGGCCAGACCCTGGAGCCAGAGAAGCCATGCGGAGACCCCTGCCAGCGCTGAGATCCTTACAATGCCACTGGATCCACAAAACTTCCCACCCACTGGCCTGTGATCTTCCTGCATTCAACATCATTGCATGTGTTTCGTGAGTCAGAAGAGGAACTTATAGATTGGTATCAGACATATGGGCTAATATCAGGCTTGTGGACTTGATCTAGACTAACCTGGGATGTTTTCTCAATATGCAATTGGTGTTTTATACAAAGCTCTTTCTTATGCACATGAGTGTCTATCAATTTGTTTCTTTAGTCAACCCGGACTAATACAATGGTAGTGAGTTTAGTTTGGTTTTTTTGTGTGTGGCTGCGATCCACCGAGTCAGCAGTTCAAAACCACCTCCGCAGGAGAAAGACCAGACTTTCTGCACCTGTAAAGAGTTGCAGCCTTGGAAACCCACAGGGGCAGTTCTACCCTGTCATGTAGGGCACTGGGAGTTGGCTTCTAGAATGGGGTAGGCGTTCTTGCGCTGCTAACTAACCACCTGGTCAGCAGTGTGAACCCCCAACCTGATCGGTGGGACAGAGAGGAGGCTTTCTATTCCAGCACAGATCTACAACCTTAGGAGCCCTGGGAAGCAGGGCTGTTCTGTCCCATGGGGTCCCTAGGAGTCCTGGTGTGTTTGGTCCCCTCGTTCTCCAGCACTTGGTGCTGTCCGTGGTGCTGATCCCATTTGGGGTTGGCTTTTGTGGCCAGAACAGGACTGCTCTTCCTGGGCTGGGCGCCCTGCCCGCCCCATGACTGCTCTCTGCGCCTCCTTGGTCCCCCTGGGACTGGTCTGACCCTCTCGCTGGGCAGCGTCCTCCCCCTTCCCTCCCTCTTTTCCTTCCTTTGTAGCTTTTACTGTGAATCGGGTGAAAGTTTACAGAGCAAATTTGTCTTTCATTCAACAAGTCATTCACATTTCGTTTCCAGTCATCGAATGCAATCCCCATCAGGTAATCTCACCGATCCCATTGGGGAACCGGGCTGCCGTCTCAAACTCCTTTCCTGCTCCTCCCACCTTCTGAACTCTGACCTTGAGCCAATGCTGCCCTTTGGATCTCTCGTGTCCATGTCTCTGTGGTGGGCAGACCTCCCTGGTGTTACTGTACTCCTTATAGAGCTGTCTATTGTTTGCCTGAATATTCAGCCACAGGGTGAGTTCAGTTCCAGGGCTGAAGGGAGACTAGAGTCTATAGGCTCAGGGTGGGGGTGGGGTGGGGTCCACCAGCAAGCCTGCTCTTTCTTCTGGCAGTTTTCTCCCAGTCTGTTCTCTGGATGTGGCCCAGAGGGCTGGTTCCTCTGATCCCCTCTGGTCCCTGACTACATCTCATGCAGTGTAGACATGCTCATGGTGTCTCTCACACGTGCTGCCTGCCCCCACTGGCCACCCCCACTCAGGAGCTAGCCTGCTAGTGCACATGGGGGACCACAGGGTTGGTTGGAGCCAGCATGGTCTGTGGGAGCAGGTACATGTGCAGGTGCAGGAGCAGGTGCAGATGCAGAAGCAGGTGCAGATGCAGATGCAGATGCAGGAGCAGGTGCAGGTGCAGATGCCAGACCAGGTGCAGGAGCGGGTGCGGGTGCAAGTGCCACTCAGAAGCCTGCTGTCCTTGCTTCCAGGAAGTTTTCCCTGGCATTCTGAGCCACGCACCCTCTCCCCATTAGCCAGCGCAGAGATGACCGGCATGCCATCTCGTGGCCCCTGACTCCCTGCCATCTTCCTCCGTCCCTTCTGCTCCTGGTGACTCCCCAACTGGGCAGATAGGCCTGTGAGGAGGGGTGACATCCAGGGAGCCTGTGGTCCCCACAGTGGCCACTGTGGTGGTCACTGCTTATGTGAGAGGTGGATCCGAGGTTGAGCAAGGAAGTTTGGGGTGGGGGGTTTCTTGGAGAGAAAGGACTGAAGTGTCCCGCACTGTCAAGGGGACCATCCTGGGAGCTTTGTCTGTGATGTGAGGGGCTTATTCCTGATCCTCTGGGGTTGGGCGATGTTCTTCACCAACAAGGGACCCACCCACTGGGATGGCGAGCCTCAGGAAAGCAGGTGCTGGCCGCCTCTCTCCCTCTGGTGCCGTCCAGCCTGGCTGCTCACGGGCTGATGGGCAGAGAGCTCCCAGTGTGCTGCCTGGGTTCTGGCCAGGGGCCTGGCGGACACAGGGCAGAGGACCACTGGCCATTGCTGCCTCTGAGTGGCAGAAAACCAAGAGCCAGGCTCACTGCCCTCCAGTCATTCCGACTCATGACGACCCCCTAGGGCCAAGTAGAACCAGCCCCGTGGGTCCCTGAGACTGGGGCAGAAAGCCTCCTCCTCCTCCCTCAGACTGGCTGACCTGACAGCAGCTCAGCGCTTAACCAGGACACCGCCAGGCCTCTTCATGCGTGAGTGGCAGGGGTGCCAGGGAACCAGCCTGCATCCTGCAGGATCCTCCAGGTGGGGCTCCATCCACTACTCTCTCAGTAATGGCAGAGAGGGCTGTCTCCTGCTGCCCCTGCCCTGTCCACTGAGGCGTGTTGTGTCTACACATGCACATCCCAGGACTGTCAGCACACACCCACATGAGTATGCCCCAGGAAACCTTACCAGAGTCACGCCTGCATGAAGGGCACATGGCAGCCTGGACAGGATAGGGATCTTTCCACTTTAGCTGTCCCTGCCTGAGCCCGTGAGTGATGGGGTGACTCTGAGAAGCAGTGGGTCCTGGGACAAGGGACTCAGAACCAAGTCAATAGAGTTAGCCCCTCAGAAGAGTCCCCCCGGTGAGCAGTAGGGAGACTCCCAGGACCCAGCCAGGAGGTGACAGCACAGAGTGGGAGTGTGCAGAAGGACACGGGTCAATGGGTCTTCACTGACTGAGCCCTCCGGTGTCTGAACCACAGCAGCACGGCCCCTCCCCTCCCAGGAGCCCCTGGGAGTTGGTGGCCTGGGCTTGAACTTCAGGTGTTACTTGAACCCTGGCGCAGGGAGGCCTTTGCTCCACGTGGCATGTGTGGGGCTGATTTGTGTTGTGGAGTGCTGTGTTGACGTCTCCATTCCAGCTTCCCTGCAATCTTCCCATCTCTGAAAGTCCACAGTTTAGTGACCCAGCCAACTGTTCCTGGGCACTTGACCATGGTGGTTTATGGGTGGTTTCCCGTTTGGGGCAGGTATGTATTGTGTTGCTGTAGGGTGTGTGTGTGTGTGTGTGTGTGTGTGTGTTGGTGGGCACATGGGCACTGCGTGTTGTGTTTATACAGAGGATGCCTGAGTCTCACGCCCAAGCCCGCTCAGCTTTCCTTTGGGGGAAATGCTGTTCTTTATGAAGAGTGGACTGATGGAGGCTGACCGCAGGGATGAGGGCGGGGCGGGGCCATCAGGAGAACTCATGGAGGAGGTTATGAGCCCAAGAGCAGAGAAACCAGGCCTTAGGAACCGGGTAAATCGGGTGTTCTCACCTTGGAGTGGGCCATGTGGGAACCCATTCTAAGGGGGGGCGCCCCTGCTGGGAAATGCAATTTCTCACCTCGTCTCGGGCACGGAGAGGCCCTGAGTCTGTCTGATGGGGCAGAGGGTTTGACTCTAGCTCCTATGGATTCTCCAGTGTGCCCCGTCCTGCAGAGCCCCTGACTGGGAAGAAGCTCCTGCACTGGGCTGCTGGTGGTGGCCTGGCAGCAAGTTGAACTGCACCTCTGCTGGGTGGGCGGGTGGGTGGGCCTTCAGATGTGTGGGCAGCAGCATCCTGGGTTGACTCTGAACTCGACTGCTCATGGTCTGGGCCTGCTGTATGGAGCTGGGGGTCCTCACAGGAGTCTGGGCCTCCAGACAAGCTTATTTCAGTAGCTCTCTCCAGCTGACTGAGGACCTCTGCAGCCCTCTTAGTGTTCCGCTGGAAGGAGATGACCCACCCACCTCTCCCCAGCCTCCTTGCTGAGCAAGTGATGGTCTCCCTTTCATCCTTTGTCCCTTCCAGAACGGCAGCAAAGACAATGCACTGGACATGCTGGGCACAGACATCTGGGCGGCCAACACCTTCGATTCCTTCAGGTGAGCTCCCAGCGGCCTCCTTTCTTTGTAATGGGGCCCCTAGCCCCTGTGTCCTGTGTCCCAGTGAAACCTGCCACATGGGGTGTTGGTGCAGAATGAAAGTGAATTGCCAACAGAGCACAAGGCGGACAGAGCTGGGGTGGGGGGGGGGAGTATGAGGCTAGAGAAAGAGCCCGTCAGATGGAGAAGATGCCATCCAAGGGGGCAAGTGAGGGAGAGAGCAGCCACGAGGAGGAGGAGAGGCCAGAGGGAAAGAGGAAGAGGAGGAGCCAGCGAGCAGTGACCCTGCTGCTGCCCTCTGGAGGGTGGGCTGAGGGTCCTCCACACA